CAACTTTACAATATGTGAGAAGTGGATTGATAAGGTGTTGCTACAAAGTTCGCATCAGCATCGAAATGTTTTTGATGAAGCAACAATCACAAATTTGCTTCTCTTTCCCTTCCCAGCAGTTACAGGAACCAGTATTAGTCGTGGGGATTTAACACTGTGCTTTGCATACCTAGTACTAAAAAATAGTACAAAGCTTACTTATGCTTACGTCAAAATTCCTTCTGGAGATACTACTGAAATCCCAAAAGCCAACTACAAATTAGTAGTTGCCTCTGACTAAAAAAAGCATACAGAGGCATTTTTATGTTTTACAAATGTTTGTCCCATAGCCAAAAAGGATTCAGTTGTGCTCAGAAGTATGCGAATTTCTAGACACGCCTTTATGGCAATTCGAGCGTTGTTAGAAAATTCCCATCCCTGTTTTTCCTGTGGCTGTGACACTTTTGACGGAATCGCGAACACGGTCAACATTAATCGCCAGCCATGCATTCCAAATGAAGGAATGAGGGTGTTTAGTTAACTCACTTAGGTGGCTAATCGTAGCCACTATCACCGATGGAGGAGGAGGAAGAAGAAGCCGAAATGAAATTATGGATTTCATGGTCAACTTCAAACATCTCTTTAATTTACTTCCATTTAATAACCGATATGTCAATCAAAAGAATGTCACCTAGAAAAGTCTTTTACTGATCAGCGATTGCCATGCTCTCCACCACCTCACCTGCTTTCATACCTCTCCTCAGTCATTCCAATCACTTGGGGCATTGTTGTGGCAGTCGAAGGTGTGTGTGGTGGAGGCGTGTGTCTCATCACCTCTCCATGTTACGGTGTCTGCGCACACACAACTCCTGTTGTTTTAACTGTCAAGTGGTTTGCACGGTTGTCGCACAATTTCCCATTTCCCACTAGCGGTTCAATTGCTCCCCTTTACCCTACACTTGTGTGAACGTGTGTTTGTGTGGCGTTTCCACTGCCCACCAGTCTCACGTCGACGTGCAGACTGCACGTGGTTGTTCGTGTCAACTCTGCTACCTACCCGAGGAAGCCAGAAGTAGAGAGAGTTTGGGGAGAGGAGCTAAAGCAAAAAAAAATGAAGGTAGAAAACCGATTGCTATTTCCTTGTAGGCTCACATTCGAGGTAGACTTAAGGATAACATGGCATAGTTGATTTATTTCGCTTACGAGAGCGAGCAAGTTTATGGGCGACTACTTCGACAGTCCATATCTTAGCCCTGAGTTTAATCGTGCTTAAAGTTCTCCCTCTTTTTAAGAAATATTCAGTCCTCCATCTACCACACATAAGTGTAAGACGGCTTGTTCTTAGACTGTATTTTTCTACTGGACACTTCCAGTGGCGGCAGAAATCTAGTGCTCTGTAACCTCCTTTAATTTCCTCTAATTATTAGTGATAAAAGCGATTTTGACTCTACACTGAGTAAGAGACTCCGCACACCTCGGTCACCACTACATTCAAGGGACAAACCGATGGAAAAGCAAGAAAAATTCCTTACTCAAGTGCCTAATAGTGTCCAAGTGGACGGAGTTCCTTACGTCAGATGCTTAGCAAAAACATCTCGCTAATCGAGTTAACCACTTTGCAAATCTGATAGGTCCAAGTTCCATCAAACAGCCTTCTGTAACCCTCAATAGTCACAGTTTTTTAACAGTCAAGCTCGCTGGGGTTGTGGTGTAATTAGTGGACAGGTTGACAGCCATCTTCAACCTAATGTGACAACGACTGCACTTATCAACCCACCTACCCAGTTGAAATGTCTGACATACAGACAACGTGGGTCAAATGACTTGTTATAAGATGTACTGTCCTGTCGGTTGAACCGAAAGTTTTTTGCATTCAAAGGTAGACGTGCATTCCACCACTTGTGTGTGTGTGTGGGTGTGTTTGCGTGGCCATTCTCACCCCCAGCCTCCAGACCCACTTGAAGAAGAAAAAAGAAGGCCACCATGTCACTTAATTTAAAAATAGATACTCATTTTGAAACGCTACTTTCATTCCCACTTCTGTAGCCAATTTTCGGATGGTGTTGCAACGCTTCTCTTCGCACCCACATTCTTTGTATTTTGCTTGTGGTCCGAATGAACAACTCCTTAACTAGGTGAAGTCAATTAACAGCATGACCCGACAAAACGTCAAGTTGCTTACATTTACCAGTTGAAATAGACCCTGTTTGGAAACACCTGAACCCACTTGAACCTGCTTGTCAATCGCGATGTGTTTAAACGAGAATGAGAGCAATTTAATTTTCTGCCTAGTTTCAGTGACAACGAATTTACTATTGCCTTTTTACTGCTCTTTTCGGCAATTCAAATAGGTGCGCTGGAATTCATAAAAATCCGCCGACGCTGTGAAACTAAAATAAATTATGCCTATCCGACTTTGCACTTTAAAAGGAATAACCTCTCCACCAAATGGATGGTGCAGGAACGACATTTAATGCGACAACGTACTTTGGAGGATGAGCGCATTGTTTGGGATCAAGTAACTTGCATTGATTAAATCCTTTAAGCTTTGGCAAACGTAAAATGACAGGCCTTAGGATCGTAACCTCAGGCGTAAAGAATCCGCTTGCCAAAATAATTCTTTGGTCATCCTTAGAAGTCGCCTCTTTCAGGAAAATGGTCATTATGGGTGGATGAATGACTTAAAAATAATTCAGTTTATTTAACAAAAGCTCTCAATGCCAATCTCTTTGGCTATAAAGGAAAGAAGGTTTTATTTCGTTGGACTGCATCAGTATTAAAGTACATATTCTGGCGTTTTCGTATCCATCATAAGCTCTCCATTCTCATCTCCTTTCCTTCTTGCTCTTCGCCTTAATTTCCTTAATTGATGGGTGGCAAATTGCCGGGGCAAAATACTTCCCTCCCCTGTGAGGGGACAGTCAAGGTGACAGAAGTCTACAATCTCCACAAGTGGATATGCAAAAAGTGTCCTCTCACAAGCCTCTCCTGGCCCATCAGCCGTGGCAAACTGTGAGAGATGTGTGCCCAAGTGGGTTAATTGTTGAGAAGTAAACTTGGATCTGATCGTGCAACGAACTGTGGCCGAAAGCTTGCCCTTCCATCGTTCTGAAATCCGCTCATCTTGCGTACATCACTAGAAAACTTAGTGCATAAATCGGAGACAAGAATCAGCCAGTAAGACAGGCACACTCGTACATATGACTACAACATGTCTCCTTTCTCAAAGCAAAAGAAAAAAAACGCCATTTTGTAACGTTCTACTTGTTTGTTTCTCGTCTAGGAGAAGCAATCTTCTGTACGCAGGAAGTTGGAGTGGCGCTGTGGACGTCTGGCGATTAGCGAGACCTCCCATTTCGATCCTAAGCCTCGAGAGCCTTGGTGAACTAAGATTGGCGCACTTCTCGCCTTTGGAAAAGAACCCTTTTGCACAGCTTCATGAAGTCGCATGTGCGGCAGATTGGAAACTCGGCTTTCACTTCAGTCAAACAAATGCGCTAACGAACCACCTTTTAAACGGTCAAGATGCGATGTCCAACCCCAGTAAGAATGAACGCAACTCGCTTAAAGACAAGTTTAAATAAGTAGTTTTGTCAAATTTTATGCCTTCTCTCCTTCCCTAAAGACAGTTAAATCACACTGCAAATTGTGTTGTGTTTAAAAACCTGCGAGTTTTAGCGAAATAATTTTGATCTGTCATTGATAAGCTTTTCTCTTCATAAAATAAATTGTTAATTTTATGAAGACTCACTTTCAGTGTTTAATCGTTCCACTGTATGCACAGTATCTGTTTGCAAAATTCTGACGATATTCTGCACGGTTACATAAAAAATGACCTCTTTTTCATTGCATAAAAAATCGCCCTTTTTTACAGAGAGTGGAATTTTAGGCAAGGCGGTTGTTGTTTTTGAGGTTCGGAATTCAGTGGGAAGGCACGATGCTGTCGTAAACTCCATGTCGATGTTCCAGACACAGCACATGTCCAAGCCAGCCTTCCGCGATCCGCCCGCGCCCCACCGTGGACCTTTATTTAAAAGCCACAAATAGGATTTAAATAGTCTAGTGACTTTAATGCTCTTGACAGCTGTTTTTTCTCTTACGTATTGTAGGAAATTTTTAAAGAAAAGAGTCTATATAATCCAAACATTCTCTTTAAAAGAACAAAATACTTGGTCTGGCACTTGATTAATCAATATAATCGGCAGAGGAACACTAATTCTCCCTTGTTTCCTGCTGCTTTCTACAATGGAGGTCGCCTGCTAGGGAACCTCCAGTCAGAGCGGATAAATTCAGCTTGAAACTGTTGTGTCGAAAAAAAACAGACTGGAATGATAGAGAGGAAGAGTTTCAGAGAAAGACAGGACGAGGGGAGATGAACTTGAAGACATTGGTCAAACGCAACTGGTTCCTGCGAAGGACAGGCAGTATTTTGAGCCCTGAGAGCCACTAGTTGTAAGGTCAACTGCCAATGGAAGAAGAGCCATGATATTTTCCTCATGGCTTAGCACTTTCTTATCTGACACTAATTAGTGGTTCTGTCAGTTCAAAAGCTGCGTTTCATCAGATTGCATCCATAGCGAGTCTGACATATTCTATCGAAGAAACAAAAAGCCGTGTTTAAGAACCAAGACAGAATTCATCCTCTTAACGTTTATGTTATGGCAAAAACAGAGGGTATCACTAGATCCGGTCAAAGAGGACTAGCGAGGTGATACATACCCTGGTGCAGCAGTAAGAAACATTTGATTGGTCCTTACACGCCAATGAGCTAAGCCTCCCCGCAGGAGCCAATCAAATTTAAAATCCCCCTCTAGTACATTCGGGAACAAATGAAGAGAGCTAAAATTCACCCTCCGAGGTGGAGTATTTGGAGAATGGACAAGTCTTGTATCACGTTTTAGTGCTCTTCATCCTCGGTCATGCACCTCTTCATACCTCAATCAGGATTGGTTTGTTTCCATGGAACAGTGTAAATTACCTTCTCCTCCTCCTCCATCTCTTCCTCCATTATCACCGCATTCATGCCAGTCAGATTTCTGCATCTTTCTCCCGTTTCTCTCCCGGCGGTTCTTTTACTTTGGATTGCCTGTCTTGGTGAGGCAAAATTTGTCGAGTTGACATTCCATGTGACTGAGCACTCCGAGGCTAGCAAGCTGATTGGTAACCTCCTCGAATGTATTGCATTGCCCAGGGAAGAGGTGCGCTCAATTAGTGTGGAATCACCACCACCAGAGGAGTGGATTACCTATGTACATATCAATACCACCACTGGGGACATTTACACCAGTGCAGAGAGTCCAACCACCCTTGATCGTGAGATGATCTGTCCCCTTCAGGGTGTAGACGAAGTAATTCAAGAATGCCAAATCTCTCTTCTCATCTCAATCAACCAAAAGTATCTTGTCTCACTCCATCTTATAATTGATGACATTAATGACTCACCACCTTTATTCTTCCACCGTGGTCAAATCATCAAAGAGTTGGCTTTAAGTTTACCTGAAACCGCAGCAGTTGGAGAGACTGCTATAGATCTGCCCACTGCTGTAGATCCGGATTTAAAATCCTCCCTCTCACCTGTCACTTACCACCTGATTGGTGAGAATCTTCCGTTTTACCTAACATCTCGAGGTGGAGTCCCCAAACTCTGCCTCTCGGCGCCGCTGGACTTTGAAAGTGTTCCACTCCATACATTTTTTCTACAAGCTTGTGAAGATCATCGTGCGGAACACCTCTGTTCTTCCATCCGTGTCATTATTCACGTTGAAAATGTCAACGATCATGCGCCCACTTTCCTAAATTCCACCTATAATGCAGTGATTAATGAGGATACACCAGTTGGAACGACAATCCTCACTGTGGAGGCTTTTGATGATGATTCGCCACCTTTTGGAAATGTTTCCTACGCCCTGCTAAGTAGTAAAAAATCATCAATTGAACCATTCCCCTTTGCAGTGGATGAAAGGAGTGGTCGAGTCTTTCTTCAATCCCCTCAACTTGAACCTAAGAAATACTCCTTCATGGTTGAGGCTATGGAAGGTGTCAACTCCACCTCACCTGTCAGCAAACATGCCACTGCATTAGTTGTCATCTTTGTAGCTGATGTGAACAATCAGCGACCCATTATCGAACTGAAGCCGTTCAGTAATGCCTCCACCCTCACCTATGCTACTGTTGGAGGGGAATTTGTTGTGGATCATCAAGAAGAGGTGATGGATACCACTGTCTTGGCTTACCTCACAGTCACCGATAAGGATGAGGGAAGTAATGCCTTGTGCACCTGTCGCCTAGAGGATTCACCCTTGACAAGAGCTTTTGAATTGACCAAAGTTAATCAACTGTCACCACAAATGAACGTTTATCGGTTGATTGCCATCAGGCCGTTGGATGCAGAAGACTCAGTGGTGTTGAGACATCTTATTCAACCAGTTGAAGCAGATCGGTGTAAGGGAGTGGCGGGTTTTTTGGCCTTGAAGATCACTTGTGCAGATTCAGGAAGCAAGCCACTAGAGACTCAGGCAACAATCTACATTGCACTACGAGATGTTGACGAGTATCCCACAAAATTTGTCACCCCTGACTCTGAGGAAGTGTATCGAATATCTGTGAAAGAGGATGCAAAAGTAGGCACAAAATTGATGGACTTGGTAGTCAGTGATGTGGATACTGGAAGGTGTATTCAGGTGTCAACAAGTCTTGAAAATGATCAAATATTTGTAGAACCTGGCAGTGGGACTCTGGTGTTGGCATCCCCTTTAGACTATGAGACAACTACCTCGATTTCTTTCACGGTCACAGCTGGCGAACAAAGAAATCATTCAAAAGGTCAACCAACTGCCACTGCAACAGTCATTTTGGAGATTTTAAACGTCAATGACAATCAACCACGTCTAACTTCCTTGAAGACGATCGAGAATAAGATGTGTCAGAAGATTGTTGCTTCCATCATTGAATCGATCAATCAGACCGTCGACTGTTTCACTGTAGAAGTGGAAGAGGAGGTGGAAATTGGATTTCGTGTCCATCGTCTTGTAGCCATTGACGCTGATACTCCCAACACTACTAGTGGATTTATTTTCTCTCTCATTGGAGCCTATGCCCCCATCAAATCACAAAAAGTGGAGAAATTAAAAGTCTCACCTCTCGAGGTGACCAAAAAAGGTGATCTGTTGGTGACTGGAAGGTTGGATAGGGAGCAATTCAATTGGGTGGATTTACTCATCTCCGTCTCCGATGGGGAGGAGAGTTCAGTGTCCTTACTTCGTGTCAATTTGGTAGATATTAATGATAATCATCCAGTTTGGCAATTTCCCTCGCCTACTGACTATCACATCTCGGTTAGTATCTTTGCTCAAGTTGATGCAATCATCTCTCGAGTTCAAGCTCTTGATGCCGATTTTGGTGCGTTAAATGGAGGAGTGGAGTACAAAATACTGCCTCAACCCAAAAATACTGCTGCTTCAGGTCTTCTACGCGATCACCTCACGCATTCTGTCTATGGGAGCCACCTCTTCTTCATCAATCCACAGACTGGAAAACTGAGTGTTAAACAGGCTTTGCCAAATCAAACCACAGTGCCCTATCGACTGGATCTGGTTGCTGCAGACAAGGGAAAGCCGACACTAGAGTCGACAGCTCACCTTCTCATTTCCCTGGTAGATAGACCTTTCAATGACATACAAATGATTCAATCAAATCCGGTGGGAGGATCCAATAACCTCCAAAATGATGGAGTGGACACAGTTCAAGCTCCTTCGTTAAATGTGGTGATGGAACAGTCCGAAGCGCAAAGCACCTCCTCTAGTATGGAAAATAAGATCTACATTATTGGTATATCTGCCGGGGTGTTGACCTTCCTCTTCTTCATTGCCATAATCTCCTTTGTCTTGTGCAAGCGGCTACAAGGTGGTAGCCGTTCCTTCTGTCAAAAATCCCCCAATTCTTTGGAGCTGCAGTCTAATCAGCGACGTAGTTGGAGTTCTACCATCGCCTCACCAGTTCATGAGGTGCTACTAGAGCGACGAGATCCAGAGATTGTATCAACGCATCCAATCACTCAACCACCATCACCGCCACCGGTTCCACCTCCTCCATCTACTCCTCCCTTGCCGGTGGTTGGAATTCCCACCTGCTCAATCGCATTCAGCGGTGCTGCATCATCTCCAGTGGAAATGAGTAGTGTCAAGAATGTGCCTGTCATTGTCAGTGTCGCTGTTCTTCCTCCTGCCTCTTCCACCCCCACCGAATATGTGGTAATCTCTGAGGGTGTGACTGTCACGCCGTCAAAATACAACTGGAATGTCGTAAATGATAGTGATTTTATCATCACCGAGAGGTAGAGATGATGCCGTGCCTCCAACTCTTCCTTTTCTATAGACCGATTCACAAAGGGTGAGCATTCCATAGTCCTGAAGCAAAAAAAAACGCCAAGCAAAAATGAAATTAATGCTTTTGCCATGAATATACTACTAACAAAGCTACTGAAGTAACTTTTATTTTTAATTCTGTATTTGCATCTTTGGCATGGCAGATGAAATTTTGTACACAATTTCAGCGTACAAAAGGAAAGAAATATTGAAAGAAAAGTTATTCCATTGAAATTAGATACGATATTTCGTCTTCTTTCTGTTTCCTTCTTCACGTCCTTTTTTCTCCCCCCCCCCCCCCCCCCCCAAATCCACCGTCCCACCTCCCTCGTCATGTCTTGGTTATTACCATCCTCCCACAGGCCAAACTTTTTCTAGAAAAAAAATACTACTTTTTGGGTTGCGCCTCTACGTTGCCTCGGCCACGGTGGCGCGCAAGTCTACAAAGCAAAGATTAACGAGAGGAAAAAGAAGAAAAATTAGATTGTAGCTACTCAATTAATTATGAAATTGCGGTGGAGATGAATAACCCACTCATTTAAGCAGATTAAATTATCCATTCAAAGGGGAAAAGATAAGAATAACTTTGAGCCAGGATCAATAAGATTTTTCTTCTTTTTGGAGGTGAGGAGGGTGTTGGAGGAAGGGGAAAAGGAAGGGGACAGCAGTAATACCAGACGTGGGAACGAAGAGTGTGATTTGTCACTGCAGTTGGTGGAGAGGGGACTTGAGAACAAATGGAACAGCACTTCTGATGGTGCATACGAAAGTATCCGACGGTAAGGTAAACAAACTCTCTCAAAGAGGAGACACAGCATCCACAAAGGGTAGACGATCGGTCAGTTGTCCGGTCGGTAAGTAAGGGGATTAAAGAATTTACTTAATCGTGTGCTGAAGAAAGGCTGGAAATGCTAAAGCCTCAAATAAAACGATGGTAGAAATATTTAACATGTTTCTTTAAAGAACAAAATGCCAAACGAGAAAGGTTTTTATGTCAACTTTGGTCTCCCGCCATTATTTGGGTCTTTTGCCATCGGTTTTTTGCATTCCTGGAGTAAATAAGGCAACATCTTTCAGAAAATAAAGAGGCCTCAATGGCAACCCTCCAGTCAGAACATCGAGCGCAAACAGTCGTCTAAGAGATCGGCTACGGTTTTGAGTAAAGGCGGTGACCAAACCGCCATGAGGATGTAGACTGTCTTTAAGGCGTGGATTGCCCTATCGCCCCTCTGCGATGCATGAATGCCTTCACACCCAGACCCACCTATTTGAAACAGTTGTTCAGAAGGGCGAACATGTCAATGGTCCACCAGTCCCATTAATTGCTGTCCTTCTCTCTCCTCTTTACACCTTTAGTGCTGCAAAGTCAACATGGCAAGAGGAAATGTAGTCCCCTTGGCCATGCAGTACATAAATATTAACCTACGGACTGGATATGCCTTACCTGCCCGTCCTCAACTATGCCTGTTGCAGATGACTTTCCAATCTGTAACTAACACTCTGGTAATGGGGGAAAAGTCGTCAAATCACCGTCTAATTATTGCTGTAACCGAGGCCTAAGGAGAAGAGAGTTTCCATCGCCTACACAGAGACGAGGTCTCCTTCACAATTAATGACTGTGACAGGCCATTAATCACGCATAATTACTGTGTACAGGTTCTCAAAAAAGTGAATTAAAGGGGTTAAAATGGCTCATGTTAAACACAAATAAGTAAAGTTTCGACATCACTGGGATACTAAAAAAAAAAGGCTGAGGAGTGAGGCGAAGTGGGAGGTGTTGGGAAACAAAGGCAGTTTTATGCGAAATAATATTTGCAAGCGTCATAAGCACCTTTTTTTGATACTTTATGATAACTTTTTTACAGTAAAATAACTCCAAGACACCATTGTAATAACTTCTTTGTGGTGAGGTGAAGGTCGTGTCGCCACTGTGTTTATGTGAGACAGGAAGCGGGCAGTGGTGACCTCTTCGCCTCCTCTTACGTCTCACTTTGCGCAGAACCATTGACGGAGAGGCTGCGACGTTGGAGTGGTGAACCTCGCTTTCCTTCCTTCATTGCAAAAAAATTGACATTCTCACTAAGACATCAAATTTTGTAGCACTTTTGCGTATTGACGAGTTTAACACACTTTGTTGCGGACGAGGGAAGGAAAGGATTGTGAGTTAGAGGAACTTGGGGGCTTCTTTAGCTGTGGAGAATCAATTTCTCACTCATTCTTCAGTAAGCATAAAAGTGGAAAAACGTGGAGTCAAGAGTGCAGGGAACATTAAATTGGGACTTATACAGTACTGACAACAATTTCCAAAGGGTATAGGAGCAGTTGAGCAGTTACTTGATTGTCAAGCGTAAAAATTTCAATGAAAGAAAATCATGAAAATAGGAGTGTCACGTGTGTGACGACGTGGAGCAATCAAGAGACAGAATCGAGAGACAAATCCATTCACTTACTAGGATGGATGAAGTACCTAGAGGAGGGTCGGTTCACCGGGATTTCTAAGGCACCTATCAGCCCATCTCTCTTGCTTCAACTGCTCCTCGTGAACTCCCTATTTCTGGCTTCCTCGAGTAGGTAGCAGAGTTGACACGAACAACCACGTGCAGTCTGCACGTCGACATGAGACTGGTGGGCAGTGGAAACGCCACACAAACACACGTTCACACAAGTGTAGGGTAAAGGGGAGCAATTGAACCGCTAGTGGGAAATGGGAAATTGTGCGACAACCGTGCAAACCACTTGACAGTTAAAACAACAGGAGTTGTGTGTGCGCAGACACCGTAACATGGAGAGGTGATGAGACACACGCCTCCACCACACACACCTTCGACTGCCACAACAATGCCCCAAGTGATTGGAATGACTGAGGAGAGGTATGAAAGCAGGTGAGGTGGTGGAGAGCATGGCAATCGCTGATCAGTAAAAGACTTTTCACTATGATTTTTGATTGATATGTCGATTGACTGGTAATTATCTCACCTACAATTTCCTGAACTAAAAATCCTGCGTTTCCTCAAAATCAATCGCTTTTGTGAACTCGCTTAGGATGCACCGAGAGAACACATGGCGCATTCGTGTAACAATGCGTTGCACATTCTTCTCACCGATTTAAGTCCCTTCCCAAGCCTCCCCTGACTATGAGCTAGGGACCACTAATGTACATTCATTTTTTCCATTCTTCGCACTCTTTTAAAATCCCTTCACTAAATTATAGAGAACAACTTCCTTGACGTTTTGACCATATCAGCTGTCTTGGCCAGAGAATAATCTCTCAAAAGAAGGCAGAGTGTGATAGGAAGAAGAAAAGTGAATAGATTTGGGTATCAAAATTTACTTTAAAATTTAGAAACCTAATGCCACCTCCACCAGCGCCAGCTCATAAAGTAGTGAAATTATTGATGTCCAAGCCGAAATGCGTGAGATGGTTGTGGAAATTTGCGTCCTCAAACACGCTGCGCCCTCATTGGGTGGGGGAGTTATCTGTTTTAAAAAATGAGGTGCAAATTAGATCCAAAGTCCTACGATTTTTTGGGTCTGATTTGCTGGCCGATGGCCGATGCTCTTTGAATTTGGAAATGAGGAATTAGTGCTAAAGTAGTGGGGAGAGAGAAGGAGAAATGTTCTTCTATTCTGATAGAAGTGAAGAAATTTATCTAAAACCGGGCAAAATTTTAAGCTGCGAAAGCTTCTCAGTTTCTTTTTTGACATCCTTATGGCTTTGATATGTCAGGTTTGAGTACTTTTGCTGCATGTAAATGACTTATGGATCATCAGAAACTTCTTAATATGAGGAGGCCCTGGAATACACCGATTGGTCAGCTTCAAGGTCGTTAAAGTGTGCTTGACCAATCAAAGTATGAAAAGGGCAGGACCACAATGACGCCGACAGTCGCCACCCCTCATTGGGTATCAAGGCCCTTTTATGATTACACGATCAAGCCCCATGCTGAGAAGGGGAGGGCCCTCATTCTTGCAACTTGGAAAGAGACTAATAGTTCGTTCTCGCAAAGGCAGTTTGTCTTAAGGGGAGCCTCCTTTAGACGCAGCTAGACTATTTGAGACCAACAAAATCGACCATTCTCATGAGGATCCCCAAGACCTCAAAATTGTCACTTTAGGATACGACTAAATAAGAGTAAGATGATAAAGCAGTGAAGCGACCTTCCATTTGTCCAAAAAAAATCACACTTTACGAACAAAGAACATCCCTCTTGGCACCCAATTTTTACTTAAAAGTGATAGGAGTTAACAAAGTTGAAGCCATTTATGTGTCACGTCTACCATTCTGCATCCCTCCATTTTTTGACCAGACGGGAAAAAGGTATTGTAAAAGCCCGTGGGAAAAAGATGATGGTTTTTTGTGTGTGCGTGTGTGTGTTTGTTTAGCTTTGAAGAGGACGCAGTGATGGCGTAGCGGTGGAGTGGATGGTGGGTGCATGGGGAGGGGGGAAGGAGCAAATGTGATTGCGTCGATACAGTACAAGCATATTATAGTAAAAAAATTTACCACTTCATACATGACTGAACGCTAGCTATGTCTGGTCGGAGTGAATGCTCAAGCTCTTAATTGTCCTGGACTAAATTTTCTGTTATGGAAAGACATTTTTCGGGCTAGGAGGGAGAGATGGGGAGGAAGCGGATGAGAGTGAATATTCTACATTCACGCAATATATTCTTCAAAAGAATGTTCATTGTGTAACCAGTCAGAAGAGGACGTATGTGTCTTGGGTGCAGAAGGCCTAGGATGGGTGAGAGAGGGTGTTGGTACTCTCAACACGAACACTACGCTTAACCACAATCGCAGCGATTGGAGAATCTGCATAATTAAGCAAAACAGAGCAGAAAAGACTAAAACAGTAAAAACTAAGTCCTCTACCACTTACCACTTAGGTGGGAAATGTCTGCAAACTGTTAGTCTTTGTACTGTGAATGCTACCATGAGAGGAAGTATAAAAAAAAAGCCAATTAAGGAAAAG